CTCTTGCACCCTGAGAACACAAGCGCACAATATCTGCACCAGAGGCATGCAAGGGCCTGCCGTGCCTACTGTTCCCCTCGTTCTCAGTGTCCGTGCTTCAAGACACACTTGGTTGAACTCGAAAATTTATCTTTCCCTAACAGCCAGTCGCGTTTTTACTGTTCCCATGAAATGGGCTACAATTATTATATGTTAAAGAAGTCCAATTACCTCCAGCCACAATCTTGGAGAAAGACACGACGTTTCGAGACCGGCTTGGTCCCTTCCCCAGCAGTGACTGTAAAGGCCTGACCACACGCAGTCATTGCAGCGCGTCAGTGCGGGGCCAGTCTCTCCATATGGACAGGGCATGAAGCACCGTCAAAAAGCCCTGCGCTGACGCCCTGCAATGACTGTATGTGGTCAAGCGTTTACAGTCACCGCTGGGGAAAGGACCAAGCCGGTCTCGAAACGTCGTGTCTTTCTCCAAGATTGTGGCTGGAGGTAATTCAACTTCCTTAATTCTTCCACCCAGCCAGACAGACTTCTGTCAAAATGTTTACATTTAAATAAGTATATATGTGATGAAATTCAAGCTCACTGTTATAAAGTATGCCGAAGAAAATAGAAACCGTGCCGCCACTAAGCACTTTGGCGTGACGTTCTTGAATGTGTGAGGTTCAGTACAGGAAAAAACAGAAGAGTACACGTTTGCCGTTGAAGTTTCCTGCCACAGAAGAAAACCTTTTCCATTAGTGCAAAAGCTTACGTCTTCCGGCATTGTCGTGTCGTGGGACCTGGTTTCTTCCAGCATTGTCGAGAAAAGCTTCAACAAAACGGCGCATTCAAACACGCTCGCCAAAACATGTGGACGATGCGCTTTGGGAGGGCACTGACAGCGGCCACGACGATGATTCCCAAGCAGACCTCTTGACCAGTGATTTCGACTACACTGCGCAAAACCGGATCTGCCTGGTTAAAGCACGTTCTGATTCTGTTAAATAAACAAGTGAACTTTCTTTGTGCTCCATTTTTTTCTCATGTATAATCGGGCCCGTTAGGACCATATACTATTACACATTAAGGAGCTTTAAAATAGCATACCTCAAGCTTTGCATTAGTGTTTGCTGCCACTGTCCATGCGTCGTATACTATCCTTTTGCGGGCTCCCGTTAAGTGACAAAAATAGCGGGCGACCACGACAAACGCAAGCATAGTGTACACTATTATAAACTGCCTATTATTTCAGATGAGTTTGTGAAATCTCTATATGATTTGTGCATGCCTTTTCGGAGCCCCAAATCGCTAAAGAAAAGTGTACAAGTTATGTGAGCAAATAAAGTACGTTAGGCACCTGTTGGCAACCTCCACATAACTTCATACTAACTGACGACTGCCAATTTTCATCTCACGTATGAAGTGCCGCGCATGGGAAACACATAGGCAGAAATGACCGACGCGCCATGCCGACGCACGTAGGGGGCGGCCATTTTGTAAGTGGCGATGGCAATAGAATGACCATATTCATTTTTTTTTCGTACTCGATTCTAACGCACATGCGATTTATGAACTCTCTTAACCGGAAAAAAGGTGCGTGTTAGATTCAAGTAATTACGGTAACTTTCATTATTTTGAACTTCTTTTAATTTGAACAAATTTTCTGGCCTCTTTGAGTACGAATTATTCATATTCGACTGTAGTACAGTGGCTCATGAGATAACCTGACTAGTTTGTTTCCCGAAACACAGTATCTTAAAGCAGTACTAAATTTCTGCATGTTACATAGGCATATTAAAAATCAAGAAATATACACCAAAGCCGCAGCCACAGCTTTACTCTGCACAGCTGCCTCTGCTGCCTCCACTTCTCCAATTGTACCAGCAGGCAGCCGGGGAAGGTCAGAGGGGCGCTGTGCTGGCTGGGCGTGCTGAGGCACGGACAAGAGCCGTACCTTGTGCTTCAGCTGTCGCACCTCCTGCAGAACCTCTCTTTGTTGCTGCCGGATGCCAAGTTGGATCCGCAGGATCCGTAGCAATAGAGCTGAAACATACAAGAGTACATACCATATTTACTCGCACAATTTGCATCCTCACATAATTTGCTCACCAGTATAATTAGCCAGCCTGCTTTACTACAAGAAACTTTTTGCTCGCATACTTTGCCCTCCCCAACCAGCCCGAGCCACCTTGCCAGCACACACACAGACACATTTGACTTCATGATGCTCTGGTCAGGCACATCTCTTGTCGAGCAGGCGAGTGCAGTCTTACACAAAATGGACTGAGTGCAAGGTCCCTTCTTCCATGAACTTTTATGCTTTCCCTAGAATATCGAACTTGAAAACTGAAACCTGTTTATGTGTAGTCCGAAATGCCTAAAGGTTTGCCTCCTATCTTCCCACCTCTTCCACGGCAAGAATGTATTCCCGAGACACAGCACAGATGTTGAACGCGTGCAAGGACCTGTCACATCAACTAGATGAGGCAGGTTTTCGCACTCATTTTTTTTTCGGTTTCGCCATCTGGCCATTGCGTTTTTACCGTTCCTTGTGATAGGCTACAATAATTATATACGAGGCAGATTGCTGTTATAAAGCTTACCGAAGAAAACTGAAACCGTGCTACCGCTAAGCACATCAGCGTGGAGTTCTTCGACATGCAATATTCAGTATGGGAGCCAGCAGAAGAGTGCGTTGAATAAGACTTAGCATAGAAGCTTGGGTGTGTTGGTTAGATATCGGAGGGAACACAACGCAATAGAAGACTGGGACAAGGAATGGACACACACACATGAAGGGCGACACACACAGCACTGTGTTGGCATCGCGCTTCCTTGTCTGCATCTTACTTTACGTTGGGTTCCCGACAATTATTGGAGAGTACTTATGTTCTCTGGTATAACCCTGTCGTGGGAACTGGTTTTTGTGAGCACTGTTCGGAAGAACTTCAAGAAAATGGGGGCATTTGAACAGGCTTAGCAAACAAATGACAATCCGCTTTGAGACAGCTGTGACAGCGCCTGCAACATATATTCCCAGTTGAGCTTTTAGGCCAGCGATTCCTACTAGCTTCGCACATGACCCGGCTGGTTGAATTTGGTTGAAGCCTGGGTGATGTCTAGTTGAACAGCGACACTGGATGCGGGCGGAAAAGAACGCTTAAAACACACGGCTGGTGTGTGTTCATGTGTCTGTTCCATCCGCGTCCCGGAGCTGTTCTAATATAACGTGATAAACCAACTAGCCGAACAACTTGACCTGGCGACGAAAGTCAAAAATCTTGAAAGAACTTGACCAGGGAGACACCCCCATGCAGGAAATCGCACGAAAGTATGATATTAGGCCTAACCAAGTGCAAACAGGAGAACTCCACGATGATAGCTTTGGGGCCTTCTTAGTGACGTCCATTTAGAAAAATTCGTTGCCGTGGACAGCAACATCGATACATGCAGTCCACTAATGAACTGAAAAATTGTGCAATTGGTCCGGCTAGTGAACAACGACGTAAAAACGAATGGCCACCGAGGACTATATCAATGTTGCTGCCGGTCTTGCACAATGGTTTTCGAGTTCTGTTGAAGAAGACAATGTTGTAGAAGCACACTAGCAGGTGTAGTGCTTAGAAAACTTGCTAGCAGCAGACACGTTTGGCAAGAGTTGATGACAGACATTTTTCATAAGAACTGTCAGGTTTGAAGCAATAAAAGTGCAGAATTCTGTGCATTTTGCCTAATTGGAAGCTAGTTTAATTTGATGTTTCTTGTTTTTTTCGTGAACCTATTAACGGAAGTCGACCGTACACCCAAGTTTGCCATGGTAGTATTCGTCGTGCCCACTCCATTACCAAACGCACATGACACAGGGATGGTGAGCAGTTTTAATTCCAGAAAAACAATCTGTAGGGCCACGTAGCAGTTTCATACAAAGAGGTAACAGTGAATGGCGGTGCAGTGAGTTTGGGTTTTTGCCTATTCAAAGCGAAACGTACGCTTACAACCACACAAGGCCGCAAGTACTACCAAGCAGTTAGCTCAAGACGCTTATCGTTACAGGGTTGTTGGTGCTAAAATCATGCTGACCCATTGCCACCAGCCACCATTCCAGTGCTTATCTAAAAGCATCACAACACTCGCACTGTGAAAATAGCCCTTTAAAATTCTCAATAGCTTTATCGCATGACACTTTGGCATTACGGCAACGTGATTTTGGAGTCTGCTACACCCGTTAACGGATTGACTCACAAAAACATTGCTTCAGGCATGCGATAGTGACACGCAACAGGGATGGCTTCAATTATTACTGTTTTGGAACTGAAACAAGATCAATATGTTTGAAAAATTGAACCCCAGACGATTTCAGCACCAAAAATGTCAGACTTTAATAAGAATAATTGTTGGGGTTTTACTTTCCAAAAGCTAAGATATGATTATGAGACATACGGTACTGGAGGGCTCTGAAAGTTTCGACCAACTGGAGTTGTTTAACGTGTACCTAAATCAAAGCACATGGGCCTTAGCATTTTCAGCTCCATCACAAATGGGGCTACCACGACCAAGATTCGATTCAGCGATGTGCGGGTCAACATAAACACTAGAATACCATGACGGACACCAATATCAGATATTCGTATGCACAGATTCTATGGGGCTCTTGCCGTGCTGTGAAAGCGTCTGAATTTTCAAGCATGCCTGAAAAATTGGCTGTTCACTGCATAACTAAATTTCATTGAGGCATGAGTGTACAGTGCAAACTTAGCAATAATTAATTCAAGAATAAACAAGACAAAACATTTTCCTCACATAAGAACCTTGCTGTCCAAAAGAGATAGTACAGACAGGTAGTATGCTGCAAAATGAAATTTACTATTGAAATTCTTCTAGCCTGCATAGACAAGCATTGCTCAAAGCTATCCAGAGCGGCATTGCTGACGACAGCACAAAGTGTGCCATTCTGAATCCATTCTGAATAACACTCGTGAGCCTTGACTCTGTAAGCCACATCATAAGATTTTTGACTGACTCACCTGCAGAAGCTCAAGAACCCGGTTTCGCCGGTCAAGCATAGCGTCACGGTCTGTGGCCACAAAAACGGAGCATGCTCGCAGGGCTCGGTCAACACGCACCACCTGTCACAAGATAAACGAGTGTTTTGTCCAGCGAGTGACACTGCGCTCATTCGAAACACGGCATCTAAAATCATGAGGACACATGTGTATGCACCAAGTCCTCTTCCGACCATTTCCTAATCATTGGTATCCATTTTACTGCTCTAATTGATCAGCAAGATACTCCCTCACCTAAATTAGTCTATATTGACCACATGCCTGCTGAAACAAATAAAACTAGTTACAAGCTCAAGGGATCACGTGCCTTACATAAACAAGAATACTCCTCCTTTTTCAATTTACTTTACACAAAGTGCTTTATTGTTTAAGTTAGGATAAAGAATGATGATTGAGTACTATCATGTTTTCATATCACCTCAGAGCTCAGTTTTTTTAAAACATCATACCATCAATTTTTTAATTATTTTCACAAAGTGCTTTGTTAAATCACAGTCAAAATAAATACAATGTCTGGATTATGAAGATTTCACAGATGTCAAAGAGTGCAACAAAAATAAGTTTATTTAATATTATCTGGGGCTTTACATCCCAAAGCCAAGAGATGATTATGAGAGGTGCCGTAGTCGAGGGCTCCGGAAACCTCAACCATCTGGTGTTCTTTAACCTGCACTGACCGCATAGTATACACGAGCCTCTACCAATTCGCCTCCATTGAAATGTCACCGCCATGGCCAGCATCGAACCCGCCATCTTCAGATCAGCAGCCGAGCACCGTAGCTACTCTTCACAGTAAAAAGTTTTACACCAAGAAGGGTGTAAATGAAGCTTGTTTCATGAACGGGCACCTTAAGGGTGTTAATTCAGCACCTTCCAAAAGGGTGCTTTTCCATGCACCCTTAAAATAAGGTGTACATGTAAAAACTGTAGGGTGTTAGAAAAACACTCTTAAAGAAGGGTGCCTTCAATGTCCCATCACTTTTTAACACCTATTGAGGATGGGTGCGAGAAGGGTGCACAAGGGTGTGAGTGCACCATGGCAGGGGTGCCACTATTCTTTAGACTGCACTAATAGATATCAGCATGCACTGAATACGCACTACTTGAAGAAAGTGGCCCTGATTACAATGATGCACCACCTGTCGAGCTCATTCATTGCGTGTGGGCAAAAATATAAACACGTACAATCGTGTATGAACTTCCGCCTGATCTATATTATACTTCACAGTATATGCATAATGCGCGTATCAGAGAAACTAGGCCTTGCCTGCTCTTGCATGTTGCAGTTTATTTAATAGGCAAATAAGACTTATAATCTTTTCTTCTGCCACACAACTTTGTCACCAGATGTGTAACATGTTCACGTATACGTACACTACAGACGCAACACCTGAAACGTTTATTATATTTTTCAGTTTCACTTTATGGACAATTCTTTGAAAGATACAATTACACTGGTTTCAGTGTAGTATACTGCTTCTAGTACATAGAGACTACAAATGAAATACACGCTAATATATCCCTATAATTCTTTCAAGTGTCCATAATCTCAGTGGTTTCCAGTTTAATACTCCTTCATGTACACAATCGGTTAATAGGAATGAAATACAGGCACATATATACTTATAATGCTTTCAAATATATACAATCACCATGATTTCACTATATACGCCTTCATGTACACAATCGTTCCCAAGAAGTGATGCACGCGAAAATATATACCAATAGTGTTTTCCAATGTATACAATCACAGTGGTTTAAGCTTTGTATTCCTGGATGTATAACAATTAATTATGTGAAATGATGTACATGCAAACATATATGGGTTTTCGCACATATAACTTTAGCGAATACCTAAAAACCAATACAATGATCAGAAAGAAAATAAGCTAAAAACGAACACAAAACTGAGTCAGGACACACAAAAAACAAAAAAGATTATGCATAATTATGGCTAATGACACATCTGGGCCATTTTATGCCAAACTTCTCAGCCATGTTAGCGACCATCTCAAGTGTATTCGAAAAACTCGTGCTGCACTGAAAAGAGGGAACTTCTGGAATATTTAGGAGAGGAAAAATATTTGGTCACGTGGCTGCCTTCTGAACTTCCTGGAATGCCGTCTAGGTGTTGTATGGAGAAAATTTTATTTTAAAAGCACTGCTCCTTCTTTGTATACGAAACTCGGTCTACGTGTTAAGTAACAATAGTTTAATTTGGGCGAGTTGGTTCATCGTGGTCGTGTTCTAGTCACAGAGCGACAACTTCAGGAAGAGACAAAAAGGACAGGAAAGAGCACCGACTGTCAACTGAATTTAATGAATGTGCTACGAGCGCTTTTAAACGGAGTACAAGAGCAGTGCTCATGCGCGACGACACGTGTGACCACTACAAAATAATCTTAACTGAGAAATGAATACTTCCTCTCGGAAAGGATAAGTGAACGTGTAGTGATGCACTGATCATTGGTCTTCCTGATAAAAAATACTTCTACAAACTTTAAATTGGCAATAAGTAAACCTATTCTCATGACGAATGATGCAAGATTGACTATTCCTGTTGCTGTTTAGTACACACACTTTCAAAAGCCTGCGAGGGGTGGAAAACAACATTTTAATATCATATCTGCAGGCTATTTTTTTAATTGTGAGACACGTTATGTGGTATACCATGCAAAGGTTTTGGTCATTCTGTTTTTTTGTTGGTCCTGTCTTTAACTTTACTTTCAGCAGGAGGGTTTCGCAAACGGGTGTGATGATTCTGTTGGCATATCCAACATTTTTTAGTCTTTTAATCTGGTTTTTAAGCCTGACCTCACCCTTGCACTAACATGACTTCTGGAGGGTGGCTTGAATACATGTGGTGTCAATTTCTCTTTTTACTAATTTTGAATGCCCACTAACAAAAGGCAGAACATTCTTAGCACTCCTGGGCTGATAGCGCCAGCCAATACCCCAACAGCATCATCACACTCGTTTGCGAAATCCTCCTGCAGAAAGTAATGTTAAAGGAAACAGGACCAAAATAAAAAACAAAATGACCAATGACCTTTGCTTGTTACACGGTACTAGGTACATAAGGTGTCTCACAACTTTAGGAAAAGAGCCAGCAGATATGATATTGTTGTTTTCCACCCCTTGCAAGCTTTCAAAAGTGCATGTACTTACAGCAACAGGAATAGTCAATCTTGCACCATTCGTCACTAGAATAGGTTTACTGAATTCCAATCTAATGTGTATGATATACCGCTCACATGTTGAAAAGAAAACTTATGACAAACTGGGCAATGTTTCAATGATCGAGCAAGACAGCATTCTTTAAATGTTAAGAAGGGCTATAGTAGTCTTATGGCCGGACACTGTAAAGAATGTAAGTGCAGTCCTAGGTTTCATAAAACACGGTTTGTGAATAAAACAAGCAAAAAAATAAGAAAATTTAGAACTTTTTATCAAGATGGCCGAGGATCAATGCATCAGTACACCTTCACTTATCTTTTCCGACAGAGAGTATTCTTTTCTCGGTTAAGATTATTTTGTCATGGTCACACATATCTTGTTGCAGATGAGCCCTGTTCTGGTGCTCAGTATAAAAAAGCTCGTAGCACCTTCAATAAAATTCAGTTGACAGCGCTCTTTCCTGTCCTTTTTGTGATAAGATTTTTATTATAAAAAGAATTTTATTTTCTTACAATTTAGGTATAATGATGACTTTTCATTGTATCACAACATGGAGCAAATTGCCTCTCAATACGGACAAAAATCACGATTTTGTAAAATTTGTGATATTTTCTAGTATATTTCAGCAGCTTGAGAGGTCTAAAGATATTTGTTCCTCAAAATATACTTTCTGGGGAGTGAGTAATCACTGCTCAGATATTCACACAAAGTGCAATATTGCAATAAAAAATGCAAACATAACACACTTTGCCTTTATTTTTGGAAGCGAATGTGCAAAACATTTCACTAATATTATTGAGCTTCAAATATCTTACACAAGCACATTTACTTGCCATGTAGACCGATTTTGCTTTAGAAAAAATAAGCGGTAGTTTTAAAATGAAATTTTCCACAAACAGCACCCAGATGGCACTATGCCAGGAAGATCAGAAGTCAGCCACATGAACAAAATTTTTTTTTTCGCTGAAATATTCTAGCAGTTCACTGTTTTCAACGCCGTAAGTCAGCACATTTTTTTTTCAAATACAAGTCAGATGGTCGCAAAAGTGGCTGAGACATTTGTCATGGAATGGTCCAGCTATATTTAAGCAAAATAACTTACACAAATAAGAATATTTGTTCATCTATCATGACCACACTAGAAAAAGTTGTTCAGGCATTGTGACACAAAAATTTTCAGCGTCGTATTGCTTGAACAACTTCTTTTATTAACTCCAAGCTCACGCCGAGAAAAAGCCGCTCTATCACGGTGGTTCTTAAAGGCCTTGCGGCTGTAGACAATGTCGAAAATGAAAAAAAATCAACTTGTTTGTGCTGTCATTCCTTCTTCGTCATTACTGACACGGAAGAGTTTTCGGTAATCCACGTGAAGGTTCAGTAAGTAGGCTTGCTCTAGGCTTAGGCCGGGGGAGACTACGCAGGGCGTCAGTGGGACCATCTCGCCCTGTAATAAGAGCAAATATGATTTCTCATAAAATGATGTTCCTGCTGTTTCGGGCAGCACCATATATGAAGAATGTGTAGTGTGTATCCTTTGAGATGGCGTGTAATTGACATTACACTGAACTGGAAGCATACAACCCATACATTCCAATAATTTTGTATGATAAAGATAAGATAGTTTTCCAGCATACAGCAAATTCCCGAATTGAGGTGAAGTGTAAGACTACAGTTCGAAAATGGCACTTACCAAAGCCTGAACTCACCTAAGAATCAAATTCCTTATAGGGTAATGAGCCAGTGTGAAAAAACAATTCTTAAATTACAACGTTCAGAACATGTAGCATTCATCAAAACGCACAAGAAACTTACCTCTTCATGTACAAACAATGAAGGCATCTCTGTATTTTCTTTAACATGAGAACA